CTCACCTCCATCTTGAATTTAGAATCTTGTGGACTAAGTATTCTTCTTGACCCTGAACCATTACACGTGGTGGAGGAGGTTGAGACTGGTGGAGGAATGAGCTTTCTGCATAGGGCTTAAACAGGGATGTGTGAAATACCAGATGAATTTTCAGATAGTGGGAGCTGCAATTCAAAGGTGACTGGATAAATTTGATATAGAAGGGGTCAATATACCTGTGATCCAGTTTCTGCAAGGGCCGGTGGATGCGGCGGTCTATAGCAGACCCCTCCCAACATACCTTTAGTCATACTGAGTAAACAGGTCTCCGTTGACACTGTTGGTCTGCATGCCATTTGTAAGCTGCTTCTGCCTTTTCCAGATGATCTTTAGTTTTTTTGGACCTCCTGCACATATTGCATCTAGTCTGTAGCTGCAGTTATGAGGTGGTGGGTAGGAGGGGTATAGCTGGGGTGGAACTTGTAACTGGCAAAGAAGGAGGTCTGTCCAGTTGAGGGCTCTGTGTGGAGTTCTTTGTAGGCAAACTCTGTAAGGGGTCCTCACCTGTTCTCTTGGAAATTGAGGTAACACCAAAGGTATGGCTCTAGGATCTGATTTGTTCTCTTGGCTTGACCATTAGTTTGTGAGTGGTATGTGGATGACAGCTGGGTGTGGACCCTCAGCAGGCACAGGGTTTCACATCAAAACCAGGAAACGAACTGGGGCCCAAGGTTAGAGGTTATGTTCTCCCCTTTGGCCCAGGAGACCATAAAGGTGAACCACATGATCCAACCATAATTGAGCAGTGTCTTTGGCTGAGGGCAGACCTCCACATGGGATAAAGTGAGCCACTTCACAAGCTGATCTGTCCCCCTCATTGAATATTCATTGAATTTGGGCATCTCTGTGACAAAGTTTAGCAAAATAGCAGACCAGGGTTGAGATGGGGAAGAATAGCAAAAGGCTGGAGGAGCCTACAGTTTCAGTGCAAGTTTAAGTGTAGGCACACAGATCCCAAGAGTGGATAAAGTCTTGGACAATCTCATGCAGGCATGGCCACCAAAAGCACAGGGCAACCTATTAGCAGGTCTTGTTTGTTCTGGAGTGGACTGTCAACAGTGAATCATGACTGGCACAAAGCACTGTCACTAGCCAGACCTGGGAGCATACAGATCCTTCCCTCTGTGAATATGACTCTCTCCTGCACCTGGTGGGGCTGTCGAGCGGGCAGCCTGCTCCCTGGGGAAATTTAATTTCATGTGGCAGCTTGAAGGAAGGCTAGCAGGCCTTTTGGTCACATGGCTCTGTTGGTTATGTGGTCACAGGGCTGGGTTGGGCTAACATCTGCACAGGATCAGCATCACATTCTTTTTTTTGGAAAGGGCATCTGCTTTTCTGTTCCTGGACCCAGGTTATTTGGAAGTCAAAACAGGAGGAAAAGAGTGCCCAGTGCAGTTGCCTCTGAGAGCTTTTGCAATGTAGAAATACTCATAAGTTCCTGTGGCCTGGGAGGATCAGTATCTTGTGCTGTGCTCCTTCTGGATAATGCCACCACTCCCCCAAAGGCCACACAGATGGCTAAGAGTTTGCTATCCAGGATCTTATAATTCTGTTCTGCTGGGATAAGTTTTCAGGAAAAGAAAATATAGGGGTGCAAGGTCTGCTGTTGGCCCTGCCATTGGGAGAGCACTGCACCTATGGAAGTGCTAGATGCATCCATTTCTACTACAAATGGTAGGGTAGGATCTGGATGAGTGAACACAGAGGTGTAGGCCTGTTTCAGGTATTTAAATGCTTTCTGGGGCTCCCTGGATAAGCAGAATTGGACATTCTTTCACAATAATGCAGAAAGAGGACTTACTAGGCAAAGTTGGTGATAAATCTATGGTAGAAGATGTATGCCCTAATGACTGCTGAGGAGGTGGCAGGCCAGGTAGGCTGAGGCCCCAGGTTTGAGGTCACAGCCTGACACATGGGAAATAAATATGAAACATTGGAAGTCTTAGTACTATTGAGAAATTATGATACAATTGGGATTATGGAGATGTGCTGCGATAGGTACTTCAGCCATGCAAACTGTCATAGATTAGTATAACTTTTTCAGGAAAGACAGGTAGGGGCATAAAGGGGAAACTGTTACATGGTATATGGTAACAGCTGTTTCTCTTTTTCTCTCTCATGCAGTACATATGGAAGGCAGGCACATTGAAAGCCTAATGGTAAAGGTCAGCAGGGAGAACAGCAGGAGAGGTTGTCATGGTGGGTGTCTGTTATAGATCACCAAACCAGGAGGAGAACAAGGCCTTTTTTTAAACAGGTGATGGAAGCTTTCAAATCACAGGACCTAGTTCTCATGAGGGACTTTAATTATTGGGGCACCTGCTAGGAAGAAAGCAGAGCAGTGCATGAAGAGTTTAGAAAATGTCTGCACTACACTGGGGATAACTTAATACCAATGGTAGAGAGGCCTCCTAGGCAGGAAGCACTTCTTAACCTACTGCTTCTGAACAGTGAGGTTGAGAATTTGACAGTGAAAAGTAACTTGGGGGGTGACATTTAATGATACAGTTCAAGATCCTAAGGGGAAGAAGGAAGGAGAGCAGCAGAATAAAGACACAGCTTCAGAAAAGCAAACTTTAATGAACTCCAGGAATTGGTGAGCAAGATTCCCTGGGAGGACTCTCTCAGGGGGAAAGGAGAATGGGTCCAGGAGAGCTGGCTGTACTTTATGGCAGCCATACTGAAGGAAGAGGGATCCAGGAGAGCTGGCTGTACTTTACAGAAGCCATATGAAGGGCTCAGGAGCAAGCTATGGTGGAAGAATGGGATGTGCAGTAGGAGACCAGCCTGGCTAGACAGAAATCTCTTCAATGAGTTGAAACTCAAAAAGAAATTCTACAAAAAATGGAAACGTGGTCATATTACCAGGGAAGAGAGAGAGAGAGAGTGTGTGTAAAAGTATCACATAGGCACGCACAAAGAAAATTAGGAAGGGTGACACACAATTTAAGATGTAACAGGCAAGAGATATAAAAGGCAATAAAAAGGAATTCTACATGTATGTCAAAAATAAGATGAAAACCAAAGAAGCCATAGGCCCCTTAAGGAATGCAGAAGGCTGAAGTATTTTATGCGTTTTTTACTTCAGCCTTCACAAATAGGGTCAGCTACCAGAAGACAAATGTAGTTGGAAGCAAACATAGAGAAGGAGACAAACAGCCTTGAGTAGTGGAAAAACAGGTTGGAGATTAGAGAAGCTACATGCTTTCAAGTCGGCTTGGCCAGACAGAATGCACCCCAAGGTGCATTGGCTGAGGTAATCATGAAGAAGATAGCCAATTATTTTGAAAACTCATTGAGGCTCGTTGAGATGATTGGAAGAGGGCATAAACACTTTTATGAAAGGGAAGGAGGATCTGGGGATCCACAGACCACTGTCTGATCTCAGTACCTGGAGAGGTCATGGATCAGGTCCTCAAGGAAGCACCTAGAGGAGAACAAGGTGATTAGGAATAGCCAGCATTCATTCACCAAGAGCAAATCACGTCTAAACAGCCTGATTTCTTTCTATGATAAGGTGACGTGACAGGCTTTGTGGATGGTGTGGGGTTTGGGGGAAAGCAGTGGATGCAATAGTATTAAAAGCCTTGCTACAGTCAGGATGTGTATCAACCTGACCCAACAAGCTAAGGAAATACAGACTAGATGGAAGTACTGCAAAGTGTATACATAACTAGCTGGATCTAGGGCTGTGAAAGGTTAAACACTTAAATGGTAAGTATATTTATACTGGTAATGCATTACCAGTTAACTTTTAGCATGGAACGCAGTCCGGTGGAGACAGGAAGCAACATGGTGCCTCAGGAACAGGCAGACAGGAGGCAGGGAGGAGGGGGAAGGCCAAGGGGTGACTACTACCCATAGCTAATCTGCTCCTTCTTTCTTAGCATGCCGATGGCTGCAGCAGGCTGGGAAAGTCCCTTGCCCGCTGCTATCTAGAGCTTCATGTGGGCTGTGTAGTCTGACGGGACTTGCTGCCACCTCCTTCCCCACCTGTCAAAGGCTGCGGAGAGTAGCTGCTAGTAGCAGCTGTGTCCAAGCAGGTTTGTGTGCTGCCCTCAGTGGGGCTGGGTGGGTCAGATGCTGGCTCAGGGCTCTGCACCCCCCAGCCAGGAGTAGACATGTGTTATTGGTTAACCAATATAATTAGAGGAGGTTAAACAGATACTTTAACAATATTCGCATCCCTGGTTGGACCATCATACCCAATTAGACATTGAGCCATCAGTGGGTCAATGTCTAACTGGAAGCTTCCCCACAGGACTGTCCTTGCTCTTGTATTTTTCATCTTCATTAATGATCTGGACAGTGAGATTGAAAGCACACTGAGCAAGTTTGTTGATGACACCAAGTTGGATGGAGCTGCAGACACTGGAGGGTGGGGCTAGGATCCAGAATGATCTGGCTAGACTGGAGAAGTGAGCTGCAATGAAATTCAACAAAGATACATGCATATCCTGCACTTGGGATGGAATAACTGCATGGACAAATAAAGACTGGGTAATGACTAGCTTGGCTGCAGTACTGCAGAGAAGGACCTGAGGGTTACAGTAGACTATAAGCTGAATATAAGCCAACAGTATGCTGCTGGGAGGGGGGGAGTGGGGAAGGGGAGGGTTGGGAGAAAAACAAAAAAAGGGAGAGAAATGGACAGCATACTGGGTTGTATTAGTAGGAGTGTTACTTGGAAATTCAAAGAAAGCAATTCTTCTGCTCTATTTGGCACTGGTGAATCTTTACCAGGAGTTATATCCCATGTCCAGAAAGATGTGAACAGACTGGAAAGAATCCAGTGAAGAGTTCCAAAAGTGATTCAAGTCCTGGGAAGCAAGACTCACGAGAAAATGCTCAGATGCACTTGTTGCACCCTCTTTCCCCGCCAAGGGAGCCCAAAATGAATAAGGCTATCATCAATTTCTAGTACTGTAAAGGTTTATATGGTAAGGAACTCTCACTCAGAATAAGTTAAAAGGATTCTTTAAGAGCTAATTTGACAAGTTCCTTTTAAATTCTTAAAATATTGCAGAAAGAAATTAAAATTCTAGGTAGGGGTAGTTGTAGAATTTTTACTGATCTCCAGTTTAACAAATTAAAAAACTGAATATAAAATATTAGGAAACTACAACAGGAAAAAACAAACTATGTTTTCCAGTCACGCATCAGCTGAGAATCAGAATTCCTGAAACACATGATGGTAGGTCCCAGAGCAAATTTTCTGCTCATACTTCAACTCCAGGATATCCAGCTTCTGAGAAAGCAGAAGTGGAGGAAATCCCCCAAAAGCTACATTTCCAACTAGTATTTGTCATCTGAAGGGGAAATAATGTCCTTAAAGACTGTATGTAGTAGATCCAGACAACACTGTTGGCTTAGGATTAGTTACTAGGTGGTTTCTTCTTAGCTTCCACATCTTTTTTAATATCTTCAAGTTTCTTTGCAAGGTCAGGGATCTTTAAAAAAAAAAAAAAGTTAAGACATATCAGCTATTTAGCATGACCAGCTGTGGATCTGGAAAAGCACACATTCCAGAAAGCTTAAGAATTATTTAAAGTGTTTCCAGGACTTGCTCCATTGGTACATCACCAATACAGGAATTATATTCAGTCTCATGAAGGAGAGCAGCAAGCAGGACCATGTTCAACAATTCAATCCATCAGGTGGTGATGATGGATTTTCAAAAAGGTCATTTTGGATGGGAGGACAGGTAAGCCAAATGCACTATTGTCATTTTTGTTGGGAGTGACAGGATAGAAAAAGAACTGAAAAACTAAGAAGCTAAGCGCCAAAGAATACACTCCACTAAATGCTTAGCTACATTTTTCTTATTAGAAATTCTCTTGGTATTTTGAGAACTTCTGTGTTTTTGTAGAGCAGAAAATCAGCGTTAGACAGTATTAGGCCAGTGGTTCACAACCTTCAAAGCACCTCTCAGAAAATGCCAGATTTTCATTTTCAACATTTTTTACCCTGTACAATAATAATAATAAAAACAATAATAAATGCAATGATGCTGTTGCTAAGAACTCAGAAAGACCCTAAAAGGTCAGAATGATTTTAACTCTATTTGAAATCTCTGGGTTTATCTAAGTTGTGAATCATGTTTGCACACCTAACAGTGCTAACAGTGCATGGCACACCATGGCATCCTTGAAAGGCTCTCAAGGCACCCCAGGTTGCCAAGGAAACCCTGGTTGAGAATCACTGTATTAGACTTTCAAGCCTCCAGAGAAAGATCCGTAAAAAAAGAAAATTTCTTCTCGTCCATTTTGTGTACGAGCTGACGCTTGCAATATTCAAACCTGAAGTTTCAGGTTGTGATGAAAAAGTTTATCTTTAAAAGAAGCTTATTTTGAGGGTGGGAATCCCTTTGGTATTAGAAACACCCTATGTTAAAAAAAAAAAGTGATCCAGCCAAAAATTCTGATAGCCAAAAATGTTAAATTCCACCTGCATGGAGCAAGGGGGAGGGGAATCAAGGCCAACTCTGGTGGCCTTGCCCCGCCCCCCCCCGGCACAACTCCATCATCACCACCTGCAGGGAGCAGGGTAGGGGGTGGGGAACACAAGATGGCTCTACTCCCTTGCTCATGTTCTGCTTCCTTGCTGTCGCCTCCAGGGAGCAGAATGCCCTCCAGTCCCTTCCCTGTGTCCCCACCATCATGGTGTTGTGCTGCAACCTGACCCAACGCTTATTTGCATGCTGATTGGCTGTTTGTATGCCAATCAGAAAGCAAATAAAGTGTTACGAACCAACAGACAGACAGATTAAGGCTTTTATAATATTAGAATATATATACATACATATATTCACATACACAAATATATATATATACAATTTAAAGCAATTTTGCCAATCCTTGATTTTATTGGGACTCTTGAAGTATTGGGTGTTTTTCTCATAATCCTCAGCCTTTCAAGATAACTGGGAGAACTGCAAGAGAATCTCAGCAGTCGCTTCTAATGAGAAAGCTATATTCTAACACATGGAAGAACTCTTTTTTTGTATACTACCATGCTTAAAGTGAAGCACTTGCATTAGGGATGGCAAGATTGGGGCCTAAGTGTGAACATTTACATAATGAAGTTTTGGGTTTTATGAAATTTACACTGCAGAAAAATCCCTTTGGTCTGTAACAAACCTTGCAAAGAGGATTAGATACACAGACAAATCTATTCTCATAGCCCTTTGGTCTTTTCATAAAATAATGTTTCTGTATAAAGATCTTTTAAAACACAAACCCTTACACACACTTATGGGGGGGGGGGTTGAGGGGGATAGAGGGTGGTGTAGAAGGAAGGGCACCCAAGTTAATTTTCTACAGGATTGCATGACTCGGACACTTATAAATATATTAAATTCCAGGCTCGTGATAGCAAATGAGTTACATCACCGGGGTGAATTTCTTCTTTTTCAAAAGTAAATGTTGCCCTCTTGTGGTGAAACACCTTTATGCTGCTTCATGCTTGCATTATACCTGCTTCATGCTTGCATTATACCTGAAGTAGCAATTGTTCCAAACTTTAAGGTTTAAGAAAATAAGACAGTTTTAGTTTAAAAAAAAATTAGGAACAACATTTACATGGCCTCTTAAAATAAGTCATGGGAACAGAGGACAAGTCAGGAAAGAAACACAACCCCAATGCAGCAAACACTGTCAGGCTTTACTAATATACAAGACAAGAAAATAAAGCGAAACTAACCAAAGGAATTCACTGTTCAATATAAATTAAAAAATGGGTAAACAGGGTATAAACAGGTGAAGAAGAAATTAGAATAGTTTTAAACCCCTAATTTTTCACTACAGCTAGTAAGTTTACTTTAAAATTAAAGATGGGGGGAGAAGGGGAGGGAGAGAGGGGAGAATCTAAAAAGTATGAATGATATCGTCTCAGTTTTAGAACTACTTAATCTGCAAACCTGTAAGAAGGTGGGTAGTATAAGTATACTTGCAAGTTATTCCACAGAAACAAAAAATGTAAAAAAACAACCAAAGTTTTATTGAAAATAGAAGCCTTGGATTGAGTCCCCAAAGCCAAGCAGAAAAGGATGATGTCAGGTTTACCTAAAGATGTACAGCTGTCCAGAAAAGTGTTGGAGCTAGGGACATAAGTTACACATAGACTTACACGCAAGTTACATATCAGTGATCAGTAAACTGGTTCAAATCTGTAACACAACAGAAGTTCAGTGCACATCAACCGCTTTCAAAGTGGCCAAAACCGGTTTAAGATAGACCTGGATGCATGCAGTATCAGACGTAACTGATTTAGGTTAAATCAGTTTACTGAGCTTCTGTCCCAGATCCCCTTCCACATTCAAATTAAATCACAGTCCCCAAGCATCCCATGATGCTTTGCACCTCCCCTGCAAACCCCTCTTCCCCCCACCCTTGCAAGGTGGGCAGGCTAGGCTTGGCCTAAGCTGTCTGTTCCAGCGGAGCAGGGACGCATGCTCCAGCACTCCCTGGCTTCCGGCCTGGGCCACTACAGGCATGTGGCTACATTTCTGGAATCAAAAGTGAATGTTTGTTCACTGACTTATAAGATCAGTCTCTGCAGCTTAGATTTAACTGATTCAGCCTCAGGCTTTTTGCCTGTCTGTACTTGGCCTGGGAGGGTACAAACTGTTTCACGTTCAACATTAGCACAGGGCATCTAGAAAATGTTTATACACAAACAAATAGGACCGTTTGTTGGTTAGCATGGCTTACTCCCGGTTCCTTGACCCATTATGAGACTTGGGCTTTAAGCCTGACTTTGCCACAGACCAGTTTTATGGCTTTGGGAAAGATATTTCACTTTTCTGTTCCTGTTTTTCCTTCCACTGTCTTGTCTATTTAAATTATAAGCTCCTTTCGAAGGCAGTGATTTTTGTCTTGATATCTGTGGTTATTACAGAAACACAACAGAGCCTTTATCTCAGCTGAGACCCCTAAGAATTATTGTAACAAAAATGATACTTACATCATAGTTCTGAGCCAGATACATCCCAACGACATTGCCAAGAGCAAAGCCGAGCTAAAAAGAGACAGACAAGGAGTTTAAACATTTCTCCTTCAGAGTTCCTTGATACTTATCAGCAGAGGTGGCTAAAAGACAGCAAAAAAGACATTTCATGAAAAATTTGAAATTTGTCCCATTTCACAGGTTCCATAACGTGGCATGTCTTCAAAGTTTCTCACTATATTTTGTGCCTTGCGTACCTATTAAAATACCTATTTAATGAGTGCCTTGCGTACCTATTTAATGAGTACTTGTGTAATAGGTACTTGCGTACCTATGTAATGAGTACCTTGCGTACCTATTAAAATCACAATTCCATCTTAGCCCATGGAATACTTCTCATTTTTTATTTGTACACTGCCCGGTATAGTGGGATTTGGATCCACAAATGAAGTTCCCAGACAGCAATACAAACAATAATGATGCTGGGGGAAGAAGGAAGAGGAACGTACCTTCTGGAGGTTATGCATATAGTGATATAATAGCCATAGGAACACTGGTGTTGAGATTGTGAGAAGAGTGCAAACGAACAGCTACCAAACCTCTACCCCGCCAAACACTCTCTTCCAGGCTTGCCTTTAGTTAACACTTCTTTGCAGAGAACAGACAGGTAGGCCTTAGGTCCATGATACCAAGAGCCAACTATAAGAGAATTCAACTACTTATTCTTTGAAGCTTCATTAGGAAAATAAATGTATAGGTCCTAACACGCTCCTATTTCTGGCTGAGGAAAATCTCAGGTTTCACAGTGCCTCTGGGAGAAAAGATGAGCACCAGAAATATACAATCAGATTTTTCAATAATGCTAAGCATCCAGCAGCCCCAATTAAAACAGACCTTTATTTTCCATCTTCAAATTCTATTTTATGCTCCTTCAGTGCACAAAATCACAATAAGATGTTTCTGGCCATCAATACTACAAGTCTAGCCTACTTCCTTAACAAAAAAACCAAAACAAACTAACAATCAACAGGTATGATTTTGCAATGAAATATAACTGGAAATTATATTTAACACACAAGAGGTGCATCTACACATTGCCCGATAGCGTCATGGCAATGGCTATTGCTGCAGGTGTGCTATGGCGATGTAGCAATCATGCGTGTCTACACGTGATCACCAGCTATGTTGCCGTAGCAATGCAGTCCCCCAGTATAGCATGCTGCTACACCAATGTAGCGGCAAAATCTGCGTGCTGCGCATATGGTGCAATAACCTCCCGTACTCTGCTGTGCTTTAGTACTTCCAAAAGGAAGTACTAAAGCATGGCGATGTGTAGACATGCCCAAGGTAGAATAAAATATAGGTCACTCTTCCAGAAGCATAAACTATGCACCAGACACTAGTAAAAAGCACGTTCTTGTTAGTAAGCTATTGTCACTAATGAAAACTACTTATTTATTAATACTCTCATATGTTGACATTATGATTAACTAAATGTATGAATTTGAAGTATGGTAGTCATTTTATTTATCATTTTTAGAACTCAGAGTTTGGGGGGGTTCTCCTAGATCAAGAGAGAGAAAAACTTACAGCATGTTTTTAATGTGGTTTCTGCAAGAGTTCTAGATTATGCTGGCAGTGTAAACTAGAAAGAAAATCAAACTCAGTGAAGAGTTTTGTATGGGATATTAATGTATGCTGTACAGAGATAAACTGGATTTAAGATTCCTTTCAAAATTGAAAGGAAATTTAGAAAAGGAACTTTCCTTTTGGCAGTGTCCATGAACTTACCAGAAGGCAAACAGACTTTAATTTGAGAACTCTCTCTTGCGCTCTCTCCCTGTGGTGCGAAGAGCAACTTCTGTTACTAGTCGGTGTAAGAATCTTTCAGCTTATCCTACCCCAAATCATTTTATTAAGAGGATCCCCTCATTTTCTTCACCTAGAAAAGGTTAAAAACACCTTCAATCCTGATTTAAGTTTGCATCTTACTTTGAGTCCAAAGATGGGACTGCCAAGAAATGGCTTACTATATTATAGGCTTCATTTTGCACTGCAGAGATCTTAATATCTCTGTGAAACCCATAAGCATGAACAAAACATGTCATTATCTTAAGTCATAGCTCAATATTACATGCAAGGTCAGTTCTGTCTTATCTAGACTTTTCAACAGCTGAAAAAAAGGGGCAATAAAAATGTGCAAGTTAATTAAAAAAATAGGGACTAAGGAAAGTCTGAGGGACTTCATCTGTGCTCAGTATTTTAAGACACATTTAAAATGTAAACAACAGACACTTCCTTAATTCTGAAAGACAACAAAAAACAGTGTAAAAATTTGTGAGATTATCCCTTTATCTCCCTGCTACAGTCTTAAGGGGGGCAAGGAGGGGCAAGGAAAGGAGAGAGACAGATACTCTTTCTACCCACAATAAGGAAGAAGGAACCCAGAATTAATGTGCCCTTCCTTTCTGCCCCCCCCCCACCCCTTCATCATATTTCAGACACTAATCAGAAAGTTAATTAAAAAGTGATTGTTATCAAGCATTTGTAGTACAAGAGCTTCAGGCAGCCCCTGAGTTCAGAAACATCAAGACTTTTAAAGCTGCTTAACCTACTGAGGAGGGCTATTACCCAATGTCCTTCCTGAAACAGAGAGATACAAGGGGTTCATTTGGAAGAAATATACATGCTTTCATAATTACGCTGAAATCTTGTTTTGGAGCATGACAAGATAAAAGGCCTTATTTATTTTATAAAAACATGAGAACCAAATAATTCAGGAGAGACTGATGTTAAAAAGATTCTAGAATTTGAGTAGCCAACCAATCCCAAAGAAAAATTTAAAAAACCCAGGAGACAGAGGCATTCTAATTTCATATATATACATGTCCTTTTCCCACCTTCTATTTACCTGTTTGTCACTGAGAGACTGGCTTTTAATAGTCTCAGGCTGGGTTCAAATAAGTCCAAATAATATACTGCATGCAGAGTGATAGATATACCCTTGTACATACAGGTATACGTGTGTACGTATATATTAGGGATGCACCGATAGAGATTTTTGGGGCCAATACTGACAGCCGATTTCCGATACAGCTGCATACAGCTGGTAAGTCTGTTGTAGTGGAAGGGGAAGGAAGTGGTGTTGTGGGGACAGATCAATGCCCCCCACAGTGAGAGAGAGGGCAGGGGCAGGTGCTGCCCAGCCAGGGTGAGGCACAGGATACAGCTGCAGCTCCTGGGTGGGGCAGGATGGCTGCCGCTGCTGCTGGCACCCTGGGAGGGCATGGGGGGAGGGGTGTGTCCTCTGGATCGGCATGGGGTGGGGCAGGCATGCTGCAGCTCAAGGCTGGAGCCAGGGCTGTGCCCGGCTCTTCTCAGCGGGGGCCGGGGCTACAGAGGGGGCTGCAGCCCCCCCAAGTTTTGCCATAGCCCCACTCCCAGCACTGCTGCTGCCATGCACCCGGCGCAGCCCAGGCTCTTCCCAGAGTGTGGATGAAGGTGGAGCATTGAACCGGGGCTGAGCCGGGCATGCAGCAGCAGTAGCATTGGGAGCAGGACTTTGGTGAAATCTGGCGTGACTGCAGCCCCCTCTGTAGCCCCCGCCCCAAGCCCAGCCCCCACTCAGAACAGCCCAGCACAACCCCGGCTCCAGCCCACATCTGCAGCCTGCCTGCCCCGCCCTGTGCACACCCAGGGGCACACCACCCCCTTGTACCCTCCTGGGGTGCAAGCAGCAGTGAGAGCCACCCACATCCCCCTGAGGAGCCACGGCTCCATCCCACACCCTGCCCCGCCTTGGCAGGGCAGTGCCTGCCCCTGCCCCCTCCTTTATCATGGGGGGCATTGATCTGCCCCCACCCATGCCCCTTCCCTTCCCTCTCCCCTTCCACCACAATGGACTTACCAGCTGCATGCAGATCTGTTCCTCACTGCCTGAATGCTGCACTGTGGCTGCGTGCACAAACCAGCATTTATTGGCCAAATTATCGGCCGCATCGGGCTGATTTCCAATACAGATGACTTTCTTCATATCAGTACCAACCTGATGTATTGGTGCACCTCTAATATATATACACATCTATATATACATATGTATGAATATGTACACACACACATATGTATATATAGATGTATACACACATGTGTATACACACACACACACATATACATGCACACATATACATATATATGTATGTATGCCCATCCTCCTCTCTCTGCATGCAATGTATTATTTGAACTTATTCGTACCAAAGCTGAGAATATTAAAAACCAGACTCTCAGTGACAAACAGGTAAATAGAATGAGTATGGAGGGTGGGAAGAGGACCAGGTATTAAAGATATGTACTTAGAATACTGATTAAACCCTGTTGTTGGTTATCTAGTTTTAGACATGCATCAGAGTTTTGAGATACATATAAAGACTGGAAGGGGAAGAAGACGGTCAGAACTCTTTATGTGGCCAGTGAGGCAAGAACATGCAGTAACTGATAGTGATACGGGTAGACGTATATTATGATAAGTACCACACTTAAGAAACACCAGTTTCAAAGGTGAGATTATCTGGTTTGTTTAGAACAGAACACAGAGGCACGAGGAGAGAAAAAATGATATGGAGCACTGATTTCAAAGCAGTGGTTTGTACACTGAAAATGTGTGCATGTATGGGAGAAAGGGGGTGGGGGGAGAGAGCATTTGGAATGATGACAACATTTCCAGTTAGAATGGAGTTAAACAACTTTCAGAATCCATGTCAGGTGTTCCCAAGTTTTTTACTTTATTTTAAATGTGGGTTGCTTGATTTGCACCAGGCTGTCCATGGCCTCAAGGGAGAATAACTCAGGAGGCTTCAAATACTGAAAAGAACTGCAGACAAAAGACATGAAGCAATGCACTGTGTAAGCAAAGAGGTCAGGGGCTTACTGAGGTAAGAATTTGAATGGAAGGGGGGAAAATAGCCAGGAAGCCCCATAACAAAAGCAGGCAGCATGCTAGAGAGAGCCTTAAGACCGTTTTGAAAACTGACAATATTTAGAAGGAATATTAAGAAGGTCTACTATAATAGAGTTGGATGGACTTCAATATAGCAAACTAATGCACTGAAGAGGTCATGCTTTCTAAGCTGGCTTGGTATTATATGGAAGCAGTAGCCTTTATAAAAGTGTTTGGCCGTGTTTCATTACATGCATAAATGGGGAAAACAGTATGAAAAGAAGCAGTGAAAGACAAAAACAAAACAGCAAAGGTCGTTTTTTCAAAAGGCCGCTGACCTAAAACATACACTGACCATGCTAAAAAACATTTTGTCCTATGGAAAATTAAGTGGTGTATATTTTGACCAGGACACACTTCACTTCCATCTAACCACATTTATTTGGAGTGATATGAAGAAAACGGTAGCTAGGAATAACTGGAACTATGTATTGGGGGCACACTGCTGGTGATCTAAAGAAACTGTAACAAAATCAGTAAGGCCAGAACACGTGTATGTGCTCATATGCTACTGAAGACATGGGCATTTTTTACACAAGTGCTGCAGTGCCGAGCTTTTGAAAAACACTTGGCGCTGTGTTGCTTGCAGCTGTATAAGTGGTGAAATGCATATCGTCGCTGAGAAAATGGCAGCGGAGTGCTTTTGAACTAAAATGCATATAAGGTGTTTTAGTTCAAAAGTGCACTGCTGCCATTTTCTGCATGCTGACACACATTATGTTGCTTTTCTTATACAACTGCATGCGGTGTGGTGCAGTGCACATCAGCTTGCATGTGGAGCTGACTTGATTAATCGAGTCTGCTCCAAAGCAACAGATCTCCAGCATGTCATGGGACAAAAAGGTTTGTGTATAAATGCCTGGACTTATCTTGGTGTGCAGTCACCAGTGGGGTCCCTCAAGACTGTTCTAGGGCCTATACTGTTTAACATCTTCATCAACGATGTGGACACTGGTGTCAGAAGCGGACTGGCCGAGTTTGCCAACGACACCAAACTCTGCAGTAAAGCATCCACACCTGAGGACAGGAGGGTGATCCAGGTAGATCTTACCAGGCTCATGAAATGGGTGGATGAGAACCTGATGGTGTTCAACACCGATAAATGCAAGGTTCTCCACTTTGGGAGGAAAAACCTGCAGTTTCCTTATAGGCTCGGCAGTGCTATGTTGGCTAGCATTACGGGCGAAAGGGACTTGCGGGTCATGATGGACCACAAGATGAACACGAGCCTTCAATGTGATGCTGCAGCTAGTAAAGCAAGCAAACGCTGGCTTGCATCCATAGATGCTTCTCAAGCAAATCCCAGGACACCATTCTCCTCTTGTACTTGGCCTTGGTGAGGCCACAGCTGGAGTACTGCATCCAGTTTTGGGCTCCACAATTCAAAAAGGATGTGGAGAAGCTTGAGAGAGTCCAGAGAAGAGCCACGCACATGATCAAAGGTCAGGAAAACAGACCTTACAATGAAAGGCTGAGAGCTATGGGGCTCTTCAGCCTGGAAAAGCACAGGCTCAGGGGTGATCTGATGGCCACCTACAAGTTTATCAGGGGTGTTCATCAGGATCTTGAGGAATGTCTGTTCACCAAAACGCCCCAAGGGATGACATGATCAAATGGTCACAAACTCTGCCGCGACCGATTCAGGATGGACATGAGGAAGAATTTCCTTACTGTCCATGCCCTCAAGGTGGAATAGATTGCCACCGGAGGCAGTTCAAGCACTCACTTTGAACGCCTTCAAGGCACATTTGGATTTCTATCTTGCTGGGATCCTAAGATCCCAGCTGACTTTCTGCCCCTGGGGCAGGGGGCTGGACTCGATGATCCTCCAGGGTCCCTTCCAGCCCAAATGTCTATGAAATCTATGGACTGATACTACGTAAAAATATAGTTTCTCTGGAGTGCAAACATTTGCAGCTGTTAACCCTATTGACAGGTCACTGCTGACACATTACAGCTACACATCTAGTTGTGGAACTAAAACTTCCCCATTTTTAAATGACATAGGGGCAGGGGGGAGGGTGTGGAGTGGAGAGGGACTGTTTACAGGAACCAGGATGGAGCTGCTGGCAAGTGTGATAGCTCCCTCCCGAGTGCAAGACTAACACCTATATGGGGGCAGAGCAACTCCAGTGCACCAGTGAGATGGGTCTGTAACATGAGAGAGAGGTAGTTAGCTGTGTGAGTCTGAGGCAGCGGCTCCCAAACTGT